AGTTGTCAAACACCTCGATGGACATGTTTCGGGAGCAGTGGCGAATCGAGAAATCCGAGAAGTGGTGTCTACCGCAGCCAAGCTTGAACCCAAATGCAGCACACATACGCTAAACTTCAAGGAGTACGGCATGACATGAGTAATGCAAGCGTGGTGCCTACGGTGCCTCCATTCTACCAGTTCGTTTTCCCAATAGCTTTGGAGCATGTCCGACGTCGCTTGGAGGTTTCCCTGGGACTGCAGCGATGACACACGGCACTCACTAACGTTGATACACATCTCGATTGTCACTGAAGTCCAACTTGGATCACATGCCCTCCATAGGCTCCATAGCCAGCATGGGTTGCTCAGCTTCCGCGAACTGATCCGTGAAGTCGATGTCCTCTTCAACCTGCGTCTCCTCCTCCACCTTCGACGATTTAGACTGGATTTGACTTGGCTTGATCTAGATTCGGATTTTTGCTGAGACAAGCACAGAATCAACAATCATCACCGACCTCAGTGCATGCGATATCATGCGATCCCCTTCCTCTCCGACAAAAACCTCGTCAGCACATGATGCGGCTTTGGACAAAAGCTCTGCCAAAAGCAGGCAGCTGCAAGTTCTTGCTGTGCCCTGTTGGTGGACATCATGAGCCTGTTCTCCCATGCTTGGGGGCCATGCCTTCGGTGTAGCTCCCTCGGATCCACTGGCGTACCTGTCCCCCGTGGCACCGCGGCTGAGTTAAGCTTTTCGCGCAACGCTTGGGCCTTCCAACTCGGCCATGCGGGTCATCAGCTTGGATTTCGTCCTGGGCGGCTTTCTGCTTTCTGAAGTGCTCTTGTCGGCCATTTGTTGAGCCTCCGCTGCATGTCGCGGTTTTTCTCCATGTAGGCATCTCGCACCTCCGGTGGAGCATCCTGCGCGCTGGCAAAAGCTGGCGGAAACCCAACAGAGTTGAAAGACAGATGCTTGCAGCTTCACGCCGCCCTTCCTGAGGAATCCCCTTCCGGACTTTGGTGAACGGGAGCTTGTAGTTCCTACGCACGCAGCCAACTCGTGGACGGGTAAAGTCTGAAACAGACTGTTGACTCAACTGTTAAAGAGTGGAAGCTGAGGCTTTCGACTACGCATGCTCAGGGCTTTTCGAAAGACGCAAATCCAGCCAGAGGGGAGATGAGATGTGACCATGCTATCTGGCGCTGTCAAGCTGTCAGCAGATGGCCTTGGTCTCCACGCGAGCTGCAGACCCTGCGCCAGCAGTCAGAAACAGTTGCACGGAATCAGACAAAGCTGCGGACAGACGGGCCAGCAGACGAGTCACACGATTATGAGCGTCCGAGGATCTCGCTTAAATCCATCCGCAATGCAACGAAAACCCGCAGATCTCATCTACTCTTGTTTTCAACGCCTCCGAAAAGTCGGCCGAACATCCAACAGAGGATGAGTTGCGCTGCATGGATACATCGTTCGGAACTTCACCCAACTTCTCTCTCGTCTTGCCGTGCCGCAATCGCATACTGCCAACTCGAGCTGCCATGCGAGCCCATTGTTGCCTCCTTCTGCAGCTTGGAATCTCCTTGGAGCCACGAGCCGGAATCACTTGGATGGGTAAACTTGATGCTTAACAAGACGGCCCTCAGCGAAGTCGACCATAAACGCCGCGACCGAGTCTGCGGACAGTGCCTGCGGACCTTCAGGCCCGATGTAGAAGCTGCCATTATCCGGAAGGTCTATCAGCAAGAGGCGAGGAACTTGGCTGGGCTTCAAGCCGCAGACTTGATACAGTTGTTTAGTCAGGACACCCCCACAGCCAATAAAGAGACCATATTCTCCACCGGCTGCCTTGGCTGCCTGTTGAAGCGCCTCAGCCGCCTGGGCTGCCTCCCCCTCTTCACATAAGCAGATGAAGGAGGGCGAGTCGTTGAGGCGCTTGGGGTCTGAGACGGCCATATCTTGTCCACTTGGCTCGGGCCAAGGGTAGTGCTCTCCAGAGGGGTCGACGACCAGCGCCTCCCGCGCGCCCGTGGTAATGGTCTTGCCCTCTTGGTCCACAAGAGCGAGCGTGGGGATGCTGCGCACGGCGAAGTGTCTGCCAAGCTCCTGGTTGATAGAGCTGTCCTCGTAAGGCAAGGCCAACCAAGGCATGGAGGCGTAGTAATCCGCAAAGGACTCCTCATCTCTGTCCCATGAAACGAGGATGCAGCGCAGCCCCTTTGAATGCAGATGCTCTTTGTAGCTGTCGATGAGAAGTGGCGTGAACCCTCTACAAGGTGGGCACCAACTTGCGGAAAAATAGAACCCCACTGCAGAAGCTCCTCGAAGGGCATCTGCTGTCAGAACTCGAGAGCCATCTGACTTGGAGAGTAGATGTTTGCCCAACAGGCGAAGAAGCTCGGGCATTGCTAGGCACCTGCTAGTTTTGGTCTTTACATGAGGTGAACCAAGACAGCTTCTAAGCAGAGAACAAGGAATTGCGGCACGCCCCTTACGACATTGCTCAAACACCGTCCGTGGAGGTGGGGGGTACAGTGGTGGCACTGGCGGTGGTGACGCCGCTGCTGCTACTACTGCTGCTGCTGTTGGTGCAATGCGTTGCTGCTGCGGGAGCAGGTGCGGGCGCCAGAGCCGACGTGCTGGCTTGCGCTGGTGCTGGAGCTTAGGCCGTATCTCAAGTCTGAGTCATGCGGTGCATGCCTGAAAGTTGAGCCAGTCCGGAACTTTGTGGCCTTGAGAGAGGACCATGCGTCGCATAGCCTGGCTCTGCCAATCTCAGATGACTGCACGTTGCAGTTGCGCAGCCCTAAAACATACTGAAGCCTGCAAAAGCCTTGGAATCGTATCCAGCAACAGCATCATCGGAATCATGTCATACTGTTGCATCAAGTTGCATCCAACTGTCTGTACTCCATATTTCTCCATTCGGCACTGGCCGCTCTGGACTCCGGCACAACGCATGCCAGAAACGCCCCGAAGATCTTCTCGCGTCCGGTGACGAAGGTTACGGCGGTGCCCTCGCGACCGATCCTCCCAGTTCCTGAAACTCAAGATGATGTGACAGTCAACTTGCTTGCAAAAGCAGTGGCAAGGCTTCCAGCTCTGCTAGATTAGTTGAGGCGCTTCCGATGCGATGCACGAACTCATCCAGGACCTAAGCGAGATGAAGAGCTGGAAACATTAGGCAGCAGGCCCGTGAGGGGGCCGTGCCAGCGGTAGCTCGTAGTTGATGACATGGGTCACGCTCTCCACGTCCAAGCCACGCGCCTCGCGACAAGCATGAGCGTGCTAGAGTGAAGGGTCCTCTGAAAGATCACCTCGAGGCTCGGGCCGCAATGTCCGTGGCGACCAGAATATCTGCGCTTCCTTCTTTCAGTGCCTCCATTTTCGCAGCTCGGGCAAGCATGCAAACGAGTCTCCCTCGAGCACCTTGATGGACTTGCTGCGGAAAGACTGCGTCATGCCGCCATGGCAGGTCACTACCTCAAGGTTCGGGGCACATCCGAGAAGTTTCGGATTCTTCTTTGCAACCGAGCTGTGCGCCCCCTCAAACTGCTCCTTCAGGTAGCGGTATACCTCCATCACCTGACAGCATGCTATAGCACGCTTCGTCTGGAAGCTCGAAAATGACTGGCTGCTTCGTATCGAAGGAACATGACGAAATACTTTGGGGGTTGTAAATCAAACCCAAGGTCGCAGCAGTGTCGCGTCTCCTGCAAAAGACGATGATCGTGGCCTTGCAGCAGGGGCTGCCTTCTCGAGTCGAAGATTCAACTCTTCCTGCATGACGCGGGCCTCCTCGAACTCGCGAGCTTCGAGGACCGCTCTCAACCTGCCGCATGTTATGCGGCTCCGAACATCACTGACACAAGTTGCTCTTGGAAACTTGGGACAAGTTGAGCAAGATGGCGAGCTTTAGTTGTGTTTCACCGAGCTTCCAGCGTTTCCAGCTTGCATCGCACACTGGAGTCTGTCCGCAAGCTTGTGTGGTGAAGTCGTCCCTGCGGCACAAGCTCAAAGAATCGAGAGCTGTTGCTGATGTGCATGATCGTCTCGATTAGGTTGCACCGAAAGCCTTCAAGAGCATCTTGCGCTGGACGAGATCACCGTCATCAAACTGCACTCGCCATTTACCTTACGCACAGCAGAAGAAACCACAGAGACATCGTCTGCGCATGATATGAACGACTCTGAGAGCTGCACGGCCAACCTGGAACTCTGCGATACCGCGCCTTGTCAACTGTCAAGACAGTCAGAGGTGCTACGCTGGAGAAGCAGGGAACGGCCTGCCACCCTTTGTGATCACCGGATCTCCTGGTTGAAACCTGAAAACTCAAGGAAGTAAGTCCCCACTGAAGGCACGGCCCACGACGGCCACTGCATCTTGAGCTCACGACTCGCGAAGCGCACGATGCGGAGGACGGGCGTCGACGAAGACATGGGAGATAGTCGTCGGCTGCAGTGAGGTCAGCGGCTTCCGAAAGTTTAAGTATCGGATGCTTCTCATGCTTGTAGGCCTGTTCCGTGGAAAGCATAGCTGAGCTCCGAGCCACTGGATTAGTTTGGCCACCGGTGCAGTCCACCCAAGCCTCCCATATAAGTTGCAAAAGCACCTTCCGTCACAACAAGAAGAGCGGCCCATGTTCCAATGTTCCTGGGATCCGAGCACACTGTGTTCCCAGAAAGGCTTCTGCCAGCTCTCGCACCGAGAGGGGGATGGTTGCGGACCAGAACTCAGCATGCAAGAAGCACCGTGACGCTCTGGGCAATGTAGAAAGATGCGACCCAGACTTTGCCGTGGTGGCCAGGACGGTGCGTGGCAGCAGCAGCAGCAGCAGCAGCAGCAGCAGCAGCAGCAAGAACAGCAACAAGAACACCAACAGTAGCCCCAGAGGCAGCAACAGAAACAGTTTGTACCAGGCACTCGAGCATGGCAGCTTGACAGTACGCATGACAACAACGGAGTCGTTCTTCAAAGGCTATCGTCTGCCTGCACACCCCTAGCATGTGTTAAATCTGTTAGGTGCCTTCCTGCGAGTTGAAGCTCAGTCTGTTGCAGTCGTCTGTCGACCACCAAGTTTGCCAGGCCTCCAAGTGCAGGGCTGGGATGGACCGTCGCATTTTAGCCCCTGCTGGGCTCCTTGCATGGCACCCTGAGTGACGATCTCCTCTAGCTGACTCCCAAATCCTGGTGCTTTCCGGAGCCAGCATCAAAAAAGCTGCAGCAGCTTCCGACAGAGTCAACCCCAGTGTCGAGCCTAATTCCATCATCCTGTCCACCTCGTCGAGAACTAGAAACCGGACCTGCAGATTGCAACGACCCTGCCGTGAGGAATCGGAAAGACCTCCCATTTGAGCCTCGTCAAGGCGAATCATGCCCTTGTGCAGAGCATCAATCAGACGCCCCGGCGTCGCCACCTTTGTGCGTGCAGGCTCTCGTAACTGCATCTCTGCATCCGACTTTAGGGCCACGAAGGCCCAAGATCAGAGGCGTCGAACTGGGCCTGCGACCAGAATGTCTGCTCCGTGCGCCAAGTCACCTGACAAGCCCCTAAACCCGGCTCATAGCCTTGCGTTTACTTGATGAATCGTTTAAGAAGGCGCGGCTACTGACAGAGATGCAACGTCTTGCTGTGTCTCGTCGCCTCTGTCCGTCATGACAAGCTGCCACTCAATGCGACGGCAGCCACAGGGATGATCGCGACACCGACGGCCAGCACCACCATCGCCATCAGTGGCAGCAGCAGCAGCAGCAGCAGGCCCGTCAGCAGTAGCATCAGCATTATCACCAAAACATCCTCGTCCTAGTCAATGCGGCATGACGAGAATGGTCATCGTCCTGAGCAGTGCCAAGAGCATGTTGCACGGTATGACCACAGAGAGCCATGGAACGGGCACCAACTCACCGAGCACTTCATACTCGGGCGGCCTCTCCTCCCACTATCCCAGTAGCTCAGTAGCTCCAAGGCTGCCCGGAGCAACCGCAGGCCACAAGCTCCCGCACAAGTACCCGCGAACAAGCAGGCCGCTGCTCCGACATTTTGCAGTCCAAGCCGTACGCAACGCGACCCGCAAACCGCGAAGTGCAAGCAAGCAAAGCATTCCAAGCTTTCTCTGCAGACGTGAAAAGTGGCATGACAGGCGAGGCGCCAGCTCCAACAGCACATGTACGACACCACAGCGAACTCATGAACAGTGGCCTCAGCGATCAAGTGCATCGGCAAACTCATCGCCGATGCTAATGGCTCCAGCCGCAGGGGCAAGTTTTCACATGTTTTCCTCATTCAGCCATCATAATCACGACAGAACCTGGCATGACATGGTGCTGCGTGCAACTAAGAAATCGAGCACTCTTTGCAACACAAGCCATGCGATGCGTAGTTGCATCCAACTTCTACTGATATCTGCCTCTCCGTCAACATCCACCTGTGATTTTCTTGCATGCCTGCATGCTTACCTACCTGCCACCCTGCCTGCCTGCCTCTCTACTTTAACCTACGTACCTATTTAACAAGCCTATCTGCCTGCCTGCCTACCTGCCTAACTCACTACCTACCTACGCACGTAAGTGCGTACATACATAGGTCTACGATATCCATCTATGCACGCATGCATGCATACCTACTTACGGAGACAAACACATGACTGCAAGTGATATACATATACATATACAGACATGTATGTATATACACATACCCATACCCAGCAATCCAGCTCGCCATCCTCGACAGTTTCCAGGATGCACACGGGCTTCAGCGATCAAGTGTTTTCAAAAAGTCATTGCCCAGCTACAGCTCTGCCACAAGGGGCACCTTCCACATGCTCTCCTCATTCAGCCCGAACAAGCCTGCGCAATTCACACACAAGCAACGGTCTGCGAGTCAGGAACCCGCCGAATCGCACTTGCACAAGCATGAAACCGTATCAACAGGTGCCCGCCACCAGCCACAATCCGAGTCCAACATCGCGGGTCGCAGTCATGCGGCCCAGTTCGAAGTTGGCAAGCACGAAGGCCGACAGCGACCCTAAACCCTAAGCTTTATTACATAGTCTCGGGATGTCTCGGGATCTTGCGGAACTGCGAGCGCAGGTTGCTGTCGCCGTAGATGGCTGCCTGGGTCCCCAGAATGGCATCACCACACGGCAATATCGCTGAGAATCTGCTCAGATGCGCACACACACACACACGTAAGCATTCAGCAGCACATGCTCTACCATCAACATATGCTGTCGTACAGGGTCGACGTCTCGCCTGCCAAGCCAACTGCACAAACAAAAGCATGATAATACGTGTACATATGTAGATGAAACCCTCTGAGAAACACAAAGACACAAGTATATGTTGGTGCATGTGTCCGCTTGACCATAGATAGACAAATAGATAGAAAGAAAAACTTAGAGAGACAGACTTATTAAATAGAAAGACTTAGAGAGACCGATAGACGCAGATAGATAGATGTAGACAGATAGATGTAGATAGATAGAACTAGATAGACAGCTTTAGATTCAAACTCAGGTATGTTTAGATAGATAAATTTAGATACAGATGGATTTAGATAAACAGATTTAGACAGATAGAGATAGATACACATAGGCAGGCAGATAGATAGATAGATAGATAGATAGATAGATAGACCGGTATTCAATATGCGTGCATGTGTATATATATATATATGCATATATTATGTCTACACACATGCACACCTGTTTTGAATCGCTCATCTGACGTCAGAGGCCCTGGCACTTCGCAGCGGGGAGTAGTGCAGAAACTCTTTGGCTTCGTTATGCACCTGCTCAGGTCGACGTGTCCGCTTGATCGAACCAAAGCGTCCGTCCTATCAGGACACCGACATCAGAGCATCGAATATAATACATATATATATATATTATATTATATTATATGATATTATATTATATTATATTATATTATATTATATTATATTATATTATATTATATTATATCATATCATATCATGTCATATCATATTATATTATGTTATATTATATTATATTATATTATATTATATTATATTATATTATATTATATTATGTTATGTTATGTTATGTTATGTTATGTTATGTTATGTTATATATATATATATATTGAGTCTGAAGCCTGCCTGCTCGCTGAGCTCCCGCGTAGGCACCAAGACAACGGCCTTCGGAACTGCCGGACCCTGCCACCTCCTGCCACAGCCAGTGACGGGCCAGTGTTTCTGCCTTGCTAGGATTATGCAGACAACTCATGCCCTAGCACTTTCTCCAGTCATACCTGCCCAGGCACAGCAACACTTGCGATGCAAGCTCTGCTAAACTCGGCTTCCTCTTCGGCGGAGGTTCTGGCCTTGGCATGCTTTCCGCAAAGCTCTTTGGCGGGCTCAGGGATTTCTGCTCACCTCGCAGTTTTGGCGGATCCTAGTCCGCATGTTCCTGCGTGGCCTCAAGGCTCCTCCATGGTCTGATTGTCTGATCGAATCCAGTCTTGGAAAAGACACTCTTCCGGGCGGGGGACCCGGGACGCGGTCAAAGAGACACAAGTTGCCTGGGGCCCGGAGAACCCAACGTCCTCAATGTTGAGAGCCCGGCGCGCCGACCACCCATTCGACCGGCACCAGCTGTCGATGCGTCTGTCCAGGGCTAGCAAGGCCCAAGATGGTCCAAGAATTTCCCACAGTTTGCTGATGTTCAGGTGCTAAAGTGAAGCCCAACGACTGGCATGGCACAGATGAGCTAGTGCCGGTGCGTGGCTGGGAAGGGAAGCCTGGAGTCCTTTTGGGTGCTTATGAATACCGGAGGTTCGACGTGTAGCCTAGGGTCTTGATGAGTTGCACCTAGATGAGATGTGGTTACGGGACAGGACTTGTGAGTTGCGGACAGCACTTTGCGCATGCTGCTCTAGCCTCTGCAGTAGGTCCGTAGGTTTGAACAGGCTCATCTGGATCGAGACACGACGGCGAATGGAAAGCCGAGACAAGCGGCAAAACTCAGAATGCTGAAGGAAAGACGTCGTTTACCCTGCCCAGCTTCACAGACGACAGATGCCTCGAGAGCCGGAATAGCTTTAACCATGATACAGTTGCAACAAGCATGTGCGTCAAAAAGCAGGCCTTGCCCGCTGCAGCTTCGAACTCCAGCGCTGCTCGACCATTCTTGATTCCTCAGCCAAGCATCAACAAGAATCATGCGCATCTGATGACAGCGAAAGGCATACAGGACGAGGGCCAACATGAGGACCAGCCGGGAACCACTAATCCATCACATAAATATGTTGTGAAAGACATTGCAACAGATTCGGCCCGCTCTTTTCTCCGACAGAAGCTTCTTCGCATGCTCTGTGTGAGCTTGAGCTTCTCGAGGTGCCTCCTGGCGTGTCCGCGTGCCGGGCACATGCGTTGCCTTCGACCAGAGCTTGATGAGGAACAATCCGCGCACATCAGACGTACATCTGCATCTCCTCCGTCGTGTCCTTGGGGACCTCGGCAGCAGAGGTCCCAGCCCGAAGAGAGAAAAACACTGAACAGATCTGGCCCTGGCCTCGGCAGGCTTTGGAGCGCTGACCGACTCGAACAGGTACACCTCTAAGTCACAGCGGAGAGTGCTAAGGAAGTATTCCCAGGCTGCTGACACAGAAACCCAAAGAAACCTAGCCTGATAACTGGAGCGTCCCTGCGGCACGAAGTTGTAGATCAGTGCCGACTCTTCCTCTGCTCTTGACTCGAAGTGGTGCGAGTTCTTGCGTGCCTCCGCGACTAAGAAGTTTGCAAAATACTGCATCGCCTTGCAGGGGGCTCTTCTGCAAGTATCCCTCCCCCCTCCCGGCTTGAAAAGATAATGCAGCTCTGCAGATACACCTCGATAGCGTGAGGACCATGATTGATGCCAGACTCGTCGGCACCCCACTCGAAGATTGGCCGTTCCGGATGCCATTGCACGCCGTAGATTGGGAGGCTCTTGCCCTCGATCGTGGAGACGAACACCCGCCCCTTTCCTCGACTGTGGGCTGCATGTTGCCGTATCGCACGACTCAGGTCTGTAACACACGTCGCGGCTGTAAGTACTGACAAGCAGCTGTCTCGGTTGGTGGAGAGCACAGAGAACAGACTGGACAGGCGCTGGTTGGTCACGAAGCTGTCGGGTAGAACACCATCGTGATGCAAGTTCGTGGTAATGTTTTCCTCGGGCAGCAAATTACCGCAGTGATCGTAGTCATGCACGCGCGCTCGCCGCACAAAGAAGAACGAGAAGAGCCAACCCATAAACCCCCGAGATGGTCATACGGACATAGAAATACAAAAGGATGCAAAAGCAGTTGAAGTTGCTGTGGTCAGCCAGCGCAGAATGTTCGGCGGCACATGTGACCCTAGCAGCTTTGACGTCTTTGCATCCTGCGCCAGCTCCAGTGGCAGCGACATGTTCTCCGAGTCGAAAGAGTTGGTCTTCAAGACGGAGCTAGTGCCTTTGCAAATAACACGGACCATACAAGATCAGACGTCAGACAGCCCTTTCTTGCCTGGCCTGCTGCGACCACTGACAGTGTCTGCAGCCCCATGCAGGTGCCCCAGAGCGGGACCCAGTCCCCAGCAGAACCAGCTTGCACGGTCAGGTTGAACAGCAGGGAAGCTGCCCGGACATACCTGGCAGGAGTCTTGCAGAGGGTAGAGCGGTTCTGGAGGAATGTAGAGAAAGAGAGAGCGAGAAAGAAAAAAGGACAGCACAAGCCTACCGTTCACCAAGTCAGTTTGCAGGGATCAATCGACATGAAGGCTGGCAAGCAAAAGCGGAGGGCTTGCACAAGCAAGTCAAAGGCCTGTTGTTGCGATTCTTCTCCTATGTGCTCGTACATCCAAGCTGCTGGGCAGCCATGGGCGAGCTGCTGGGGTGCGCGATCTGCACACCACCGCCCGTGAAGAGAACAGCATTGACTGAAGCAAAAGCCTTCCCAAAGCTTCAGAAGCGGCTTGTCATCAAGTTGTGAAGAAATGGCTTTAGGGGTTGAGGGGCGTGTGCTGAGAAAAGGGAGATGCCTCAGGGTGTATGCCATGCATGTGTCAGAAAAGTACCATCAACGTCGTTAGGACTCTTGCGCTCGTATCGCGCAGAATCTTTTTTCCACGTATGTCTCGAAGTGATTCAAACTGATGTCAATCTTCGCGGCTTTTTTTACTGGTTCATCAAAGAGCTCATTCCCATAGCTGGCAACCTGAAACCTGCGGTATTGTTCAATCACATTCATTCATGTTCTGAGACCAACTGTGCAGTTCGGGCCGAAAGCCGCGAATATTGAGCGCTCTTCGCAAACCCATTGTTGCAAAAAGTTCTCTGCTTTGCAATTCTCGGAGCATGGGCTCCCGGTCTGACCGCAACCGCTTGCGAGTCTTTGCCAGCTGCTTAGTTTACCACCAAGTGCCTCATCCTTCTAGGCATGGGGGCCGCAGCAGACTGTGTAATACAAAGGGATGTCTTCGCCTATACAATAGTATAACACATGGACCATACCGTATACTACATAGTTTACTGTCCTAAATAATCTACTATTAATAACATACTCTCATGTTGCATCTCGCGATTGTTGGATTGGCACTGCGGCTTCGGGCCATCCACCGCTCCGCTCCGGAGCTGTTCCGGAACTGTGTGAAGGTTCGTTTCGAGATCAGCTTTAGGTGCGTCCACGGTCCTGATAGGATTTGCTGAGGCACTGCTGAAGCAGATTATCGTATATTCTAATGGGTTACTGTATATTGCACTATATTTATGATATATTAATTATACTAGCACATTTACAGAACATTCTAGTGCACTATATACTACAGCATTGTATACAGTATATTTTTACATTGTATACTGGTGGTAAATTCTCTGACATGCTTGCGCTTGCTGCCTTGGCCAACTGCTGGTCATCCCAGTCGTAGAGGATTGGAACCACTCGTCCTCCAGCAGCCTCTACGTACTTCACCTCGTTTACGTGTTTGGGGTTCAAGGGTTTAGGCACGCAGGGTTTAGGGGTGTATGCTGCGAGATAACGTCTTGGCGACCTAAAATTGAAGACCAAGGCCGGGGAACATAGAGAGATGCGAAGCAGCTGCCACCGCTGGTTGCATCGTCTGTCCATCTGTATGCCCGAGCCGTTTCGCATCCATGTGCTACAGGAACTGTCAGGACTCCTGACGCTGCGAAGTTACCAAATCGCAGACACTGCCGCCACATTCCAAGCTGCAGATACACATCTCACTCAAAATCCGACGACAAAAGAACTCGTGCCTACAATCGGCGCATCTGCTGCGTGGCCGCCGAGAGACAGTGCGAAGGCGCACAAAGCTGAGAAGCCCAGCATTTTGGAAGAATGGTGCAAGCTTGAGGTGCAAGAGACACCCGTCTTTGCTTCCTTCAACCGGTGAGCCTTGAACTCTCCAATGCGGAGGGCCCCGTAAGGCACCAAACTCCCTAAGCATCCCTAAACCCTAAAATCCAAATGCTAAACTCGGGATCTCGTCCTAGCATGGGCGATGTGCGCTCTCTCGCTCGGAGCTGCAAGAGCCAAGAGCAACTGTCTAATGAAATGAAGTACATGCCGCACCTTGTCATACACTCACACACCGCACCATACTCTGTCAAACACGATCTGTGGAATGCATATTACTCTGGATTCGTATGAACTGCAAGACATTCATTGCTCTATGCCATGAGATGCACATTTCAAAACGGTGCTCTATCTGGCTGTTTGTCAGTACGCGTGACTGTATGTGGCGAATGGCATCATACATCTTCAGGTCTATTAATAGTTGGGCTATGCTACTATGTCCCGTTAGAGGCCCTTACATTCTGTTGCCAACTCGAACGGCATGATTGTTATGTATGTCCGCACACAGCTGTGTCCCAAATCCTCTCTGAGGCCGGGACCCTTCACCACACCGAGGCCAGGCTTGGCCTGAGTCCGACACGACTTGGTGATTTGGGTGTGTTGGTGGTCGTGCTAGTGGCGCTGGCGGCGGCGGTGGCGGTGGCGGTGGTGGTGGTGGTGGTGTGGTAGGTGGTGGTGGTGAGGAGCAGAATTGTCCCACCACCAATGGTAGGAATAGCAGCCATCATAGCCGATACTGAAACTCGTGAACATGCTTGGAAGTCATCAACTCAGCTGTGCTTCTGGCACTGCGACTGTTGTCCTTGCACTCTTGCGAAGTGTTCACTAACAAGATTCATGTGGGTCCGTCCTTGGTCTTGTAGTGGCTAGCCACACTCGTGCCTGGAATCAGTCTGGATACCTCCGGCCAATGACGAAGAGACTATCGCGAAGCGTTTATGTCACATGGCAGATTTGAAGCATTTGGAGCCCGACACCACTTACTAGTACAACATGCCTCGTGCAAATTCTTGAGGATGGGGAGCAAATACGCGGCTGTCCTTGGGCAAGGCTAAACGGCAACAACTTTCCCGCCGCATGCCCTATGTAGGTTCATGCTAGTTGCAGCCACCTCTGGGAATCCTGCTTGCCCGAGCCAGTGAATGCAGAGGCAAGAAAGTCGTGCCCATCTGTGCCAGATGCAGTCGTCCACACAGCCATGTACGAATGGAAGCGAAACTGGCGGTTGCAGGCCTTTCATCAAAGGCAGGGAGCACTGCTGCACCGGTGTCAAGTAGTAGAATCCACGCCGAGCCATTGCGGCCTCAATCAGGTTGAAATTCCAGGGTGTTGAGCCTAAACAAGCATGCGGATTGGCAAGATCAGCAATGCCGGAAATATCCGGAAATACCAGCTTCCATCCACAACTCCACTTGCTTCCTCCTCCTGCTTCACAGAATCGTCGTCTTTCGCTGTCAACATCGCCACAATTATGACGTTCATCCCGATTGCCATCCTCACCATCATCAAGATCAACACAAACCACCATCATCATGGTCATCACCACCATCACGACGGCCACCATCATGCCCATGATGACCATGATTACCAACAACATCATGCCCGTCTCATCCTCATCCAGATCCTGGCCCTTGTCCTTGTCGTCATCGCCATATAACCGCAATGGACATGAACCGTCGTCAATGCCCGTATCATCACACTTTATATTGGTTTGTCATACCAGAACTGCAGGAATTGCCAGCAATTGCCCTTTCAAACGTTGTCTTGAAGTACCACTGGCACTAGCCGCGAAGGAAGCAAAGTGGCGAGACTAGGCATAGCAGACGCCGTCGATGTAACAGAAGCAGCACATGATGAACAATGATAATGGAGTGAGGCGGAGGAGGAAGGGGAGGCTGACGGCTGACGATCTCATTCCTTCGCTGCAAGAGAGTCCCTCGCAAGATTGACCGTTCCATATGAGCAGGCCTGGGGCACAAAGACTCAGACGATGAAAAAGCATACCGACATACTCTGCAGACGTCCAATGCTTGCTTGAGGCTGAAAGATCGTGTGATGGCTGAGGAAGGTAATGACTGCTGGCCACATGCACGACAACCTCTTGCAATCGAAAGAACGTCTGGCTCTCTCACTCTCGTGCCTGAAGAAAAGGTGGATATCCAAGCTCGCTCACGGCATCTTCAAAGGTGGAGTAGAAGGGAACCTCCAGGACGCAGAGAAAGCCCCGCGGATCTGATGCTTTGTGGGCGGGCCGGCCTCGAGTGGGCTGCCGTCGGAGCCCATGATCGCTGGCTCTGCAGGCCGATAAGCCTTTTCGAAGTTGGCAGCCTGATCCTCTACATCATCCCCCTCGCCCGGTGCCGGAGGCTCCAGGGAAGGGAGAGGCGATGGCAAAGGCTCCGGGACCTTGTCCCGAGGCTGATTTTTCGGCCCCGGGGTCGGGTGGAGCTGCTCCTCCCAGAAGACCCAAGACCTGAAGAGGCTGAGACCTGTGACTTGAAACTGCCTGCATCTGCAGCTGCGGAGCTCGTCATCCTCCCTTCTTTGCTTCGGCACGTCTCTCACATCTTCATCCGCTGGCAGATCCTGACACAGACCCCACCAAAACCCCCACTCTTCGGCTCAAGCGGCCTTAGGTCACTCCACACCTTGTTCAGCATGGACAGGCCCACCAAGTCCGGATCTCTCGGCTGAGGGCCACGGGTCTTCGCCGCGAGCGCTAGGCCGGCGCCTGGAGGATAAAACGGCTCTCCGACAAGAGGGCAGTGCCTTTCATTCAGGAGACTTCGGTGCCTACTCCAAGCCGCAGCCAGGGCGTTCGAGTCGTTGCAGTCCCGGCGATCCTTGAGCTGCTGCCTTGGATCTGTGATCTCTGGAGCCCCTCCTGGGGCGGATCGGCTCGGCAAACTCTCGGTGCAGCCTTGCAGCTGCTGCTTCCGCCATTGCTCCAGACCTCTGGCACCACGGCTTGCGCAGTCCAGCGGCGCCCAAGGCAGCCTCGAGCGGGTGAGTGCCAGAGGCTCAGGCTGTGAGCCTCCATGGCGTCCGACAGATGTGAATCTGGGCTTAGATCTAACGGTTGAAGGCGCGGTCAAGTGGTGTTGATACACTTGTGCCGCTCGCGACCCCTGGATACGACATTCATGCGTGACATGCTATCTCCCATTTAGCCAAAATGCGGCGAGATGCGGCGGCTGTAAGCAGAGATGCACAGCTTGTGTGACAACATCATGTTCAGCACTACCATGAAGACATGGATCGCCGATCCATGGATCCTAGAGTCTCCGCTTTTTCCGCGGTCGCGCACCACGACACCAAGTGTGACGCCGGTTTTCGGATGTGCGTCTTGCAGCTCCAGACGCCTGGGGGAAGTGGCCCTTGGAGTACCTTTCTCCACAGCTCACTTCTTCCCTGGGGTCTGAGAACATTACCAGAGCCCTGCTCAGAACAAGCCGCCTCAAATTTTGCACCTCAGCTGGGATTGGTGTTCGTCTTCGCCGAACTTGGAATCAACCTCTACACGTAATGCAGGCTGCTGGCGACTGCTGTTCTAGGTGAGCCATGTACTCCGTGAGCTTTTGCAGCTGGGCCTGCGGTTGCTGCAGATCAGAGCGGCCAGCTCGTCTTCTCACCCAAGGGCTACTTTAGAGTGGGTGGATTTTTTTGTTCGCTCCCTTGCTTTTTGTTTTTGCTTCCCTTTTTTGGGGGGCTGGTGGGGGTGCTCTGTATTTCCATAGGAAATTTCGCTCTACTTTCATAGGAAAACTTCTATTTTCCGAGATTTCAAAAAACAAACAAACCTTCTCTATGTTTTACGAGGTACATCTCTATTTTATGTATATCTTCTTGGGAAAATGCGTACTTTCACAAAACGATAACCTCTAATCTTCCGATATTTTCATGAGCGGGAGGTGGCGGGGGGGCGCAGCAAACAATGATCGCATGATGGGTTTCAACAAATGAAACTCATATACTTTGAAGCAAGCTTGCACGGCTTAAAGCAGCAAACAGGATGCTCGCATGATAGGATTCAAAAACACTCACATGGAAGCAAGCTTGCACGGCGAAAAGAAAGTAGGGGGCTGGGGGGGAAGGGGCAACCCCTCCCATTTACAAACCGACTGTGGGCATTATGGGTTTCAATCATATGCTTTGAAACAAGCTTACACGGCTCAAAGCGGGGGGGTTGGGGCGCAGAGCCCCCCCCCCTTGCAAACACAATCGCATGATGGGCCTCAAAAAGAATCATATGCTTTCAAGCAAACCTTGTACGGCCAAAAGCAAGGGGGTTGGGGCGGGTTTCAAAAACACTCATTATGCTTCGCAGCCCCGCAACTTGCACACAGACTGCTCGCATGCTGGATTTGAAAAAGACTCACATGCTTTGAAGCAAGTTCGCGCGGCTTAAAAAGCGGGGAATTGGGGGAGGGGATGGCGCCCCGGGTGGATATTTTTTTCCTGTTTGTTGTTTGCACTTGTTTTTTGCGTTGCTGATGTAGTGGCTTTAGGCGCTTGCCAATCCAAAATTTCCTGTTTTTGACAGCATATGGTGCAAAACTCCTCCCCATGTCCTAGTATTTACAATTAGACAAGCTGCTCGCTCGCCCGTGATGCTACATCTTAAACAAACCCCGTCATTTGGCGATTCCGGTTCGTGACATATCTTGAACCCGCCCCTCATTTGGCGATTCCGGATCATCGTATGTCTAAAGCACGCCCGCTCATTTGGCGACTCGGGTTCGTCATATGTCTTAAACAGGCACCCTCATTTGGCGATTCCCCGCCATTTGGCGACTCCGTTTCATCATATATCATAAATCTGGAATTGCCTTCTCATTTGGCGATTCCGGTTCATCATATATCTTCAACATGCCCCCTCATTTGGCGAAAACCGATTGAAAGCTAGAAAACAACAAAACACGAACAAGTAACACAAAGCCCATAGAAACCAGTTTGCAATTCCGGTTCATCATATATCTTAAACACGCCCCCTCATTTGGCGATTCCGGTTTCATCGTATATCTTAAACCGGCAGGAAGAACTGAGCGGACCAGAGGGAGAACCAGAAGAGAGGGGGGCCAGGAGACCAGAAGACGAAGGGACCAAGAAGATCACGGGACCAGAAGACCAGAGGACCAGGGGACCGAGAAGACCAGGGACCAAGGGACCAGAGGACCGCGGGACCAAGGGGACAGGGGGAACCAAAACAAGGGAGCAAAAAAAAGAGGGAATGAAAAAAAAAACGCCTTCCCCTTAGAGTCCCAAAGCACGTTTGTTCATCTCCTCGCCTCGCCCATCTGCATCAGATCATCTTCAGGCTTGGGTGAAGATGGGGACACGTTGCCCTCCGCGTCAAGGGCCTCAAGAGGCGGCAAAGTTCCGTGCTTTTGCGCAGAGAGCCCCAACGAACAATTAGGAATCCTGGGACTTCGGTCAATGACAGTCATGCACCCCAAGGTTCGACAAACATGCTCGCATTTGAAGCCCCCAAAGACTTGTGGAAACAACAAAGCTCCAAAGGCCTGTTTCCTCGCATCCTGCAGTGGTCGAGTGAAACTATGACATAGTTCTGTCAACAAGTGCATTTGTGCATGCTGAGCCATTTGATCTTTGCATGCTGACATTCGTCATCACGGCAGCGCGGGATGGGGCCGATGCAGAAACCTTGAAGCCAGCTTTCGTGTAGCACCTTCGTGCCTTCTCGTTGGTCTCCAAAACACTCAAGTTTACCTTGGCGAACGGCCATCCAAGGCCTCTTGCACGTCTCTCTGCGGCTCCAAGCAGAAGGCCGCCTAAGCCTTTGCCCTGGTGCCCGCGGTCAACCTTCACCTGCCCGATCGTGAGCTCCTGCTCTTCAAACTTCGCATACACATAGCCTAAAACCATGTTTGTTGTTTGTGACACTGCCGTTAGTGTGAACGAGGAGGGCTTCAAAGCGCTTGCCAGCTCCTCAATACACGCCACATGCTTGTCCTCCGCCTTGTCATCCACTACCACACCCACTAGAGTTGCTGCGTCCTTTGTAGTGAGGGTTTCGTACCAAGGCATTTCTGAATGCAGGTTGGCGTGGTCCACTGCAAACTCTCTTTCTGAACGTCGCAAGCGCTTGGCGCAGTCCTTCACAGACTCGCACACCCAGTAATCTTGATTTTCCACCACAATACTGTGCTGCGACGCGACTTGTCTATGATGGGCTCGTGCATACTATCTTCCGTCTGCCATTCAAAGATTTCGAATCGGCTCCTTGCTGCGGCACCAGGGCACGAGCTCTGAGGTGTTGGCGAAGGTCGAGGGCGCTTCCTAGTCTCCGGCACGTGCCGGCTCTGGGCTTTCAAAAGGTCCCGTGGAGTCTGGTTACTTCGCTTAGATTTGACCAGCACTCACGCACCATGTTTGATGAGGACGTTCACCACATCCATGTGAGAACTGTTGATACCGTAAAAAAGGGGCAGTCTCCCTCCAGCTGTCACGCCAGTTGACATGGAATCCCAGACTCAGCAAAAACCTGACAAATGTGCGTAGAAGAGTTGTGTTTGCTGGTTGAGGTCCACTTCGGCCAGATCAATGCCCATCCGCACCGCGTGTCTGCCTAAAATCTCGCTCCCCCTGCGCCGTCGTGCTGCTATGAAAAACAACACATTCTGCCGAAGCTGGCTGTGACGCCAGCTGACGTCGAGCTTCAGAAGTGCCTCTTTGGCCTCTGTGAAGCTGCCATCATGCAACGCTTCGAACAGCTGATCTTGATTCATCTCGGACAAGTCTTGAGCCCCAGAATCTTGCAAAGGTGGCTAGGTGATGGGCGCCGCCTGCCCGAGCATCGGTTCTCGCATGACAAAGGCCGTGATTAACATGGACGTCTCGGGGGTAAGACAGGAATGGTCAGGAATGGGCAAGACAACCACAGCACCGCAACTCTGAGGCTCCCACCCACCCTCTGCTTTCGCAAGCTGTTCGCGCCGCAACGGCATCAATGCCCAGCATGGCGGCGACGCATGACAGCGACACGACCTGCTCGGAGGCCAATCCGGGCAACCATAGCTACGAATGTAAACACAAGACTGGCACCTTGTATGCCTTCCCGATCTTCTCTAAAAGTCCTTCTCGACTTCTGGCGACTACCTGCACAAACAGAAAAGTCGCACACGACAGCTGCACTGAGTCGGGAGATAGCCTCGGCCACGAGTGGCTGCAAGCGGCTGTCCCAGGGAGGACCCGCCTCTCGAGGTGCATGGAATCGCTCCGGCCACGTTTAAGGCAAAGCCCCATCTAAAACAATGTATGCAGATGTCACACAACTTGCCCCTTGCATCCGGGCTATGGTGATGGCCGCCTGGAGCTGTGCGAAAGCTTCGGCATATTGCCTGTCAGCCACCCACAAAATCTTGTCCGCTCTCAAACCGGTGCTTCTCAAACCTCCGCCATCGCGCGGCTAGAACCTCAGCTCGGCTCGCTGCACCAGTGGCAAAGTGTGGGAACTTCAAAGGCGAGGAGCCTGCGCTAGTGCTACAGGCGAGGCTCTGGCAAGTGCTCTGTGCCTAGTGCCCCTAGTGCCCCTAGTGCGTACTTTGACTTTGCGTCCGACGTGTCAACCACAGACAAAAAACCGTTATCAGCTACGCATATCCACTGCTCAAAGCCATCCTGCAAAGATCTGCAGAAACCAAACACGCTAGCGGAAGGTGTCGTTCTGCAACATGTGGCCTCTGCCACAAACGTCTCGCTCGAGGAATGGTGCTGCTACATTCACCCTCTTGTCGAGATCAAGGCGATCAAAGTGAATCGCTGACTCCGTGCAGCCAGGCCACCCGGTGTGCAGCTGCAGCTTGGGGATACTGCTGCACTGCTGCTGGTGTCCTAAATCGGATTTGCCATGCACACCCGTATCACGACATTGGCAATGCTCTTCTGGCTCCTCTTCCAAAGGAATCGTGCTGAATCCAGTTGGCCTGCACCAACAGCATGTCTGCGACAAGTCCGGTCAGGTTCAGAGGCCGGACAGCCGCTCCGCCTTCTAAAAGATACGCCAGCAAGTGCACGGCGCACAGGAGGCCCTGCTGCTCCACCTGCGCGAGCTTAGAGGCAGATTTTTGCGAAGTGCCCTGGAGATCAGTGACGACGGCGTTGGTGTTGGCTGTGGGAGTGGTGCCGGTGGCATTGGCGGTGGTGGTGGTGGTGGTGGTGGTGGTGGAGTTTGGTGGCCGGTGGTTCAACATAACGACCAAGGGTGACTGAGTTTCACTCTCAATGCGCGCTTCTCGCCTGTTCCGGTGAGGGCGGCGCAGTGCTTGGATCCAGCGACAACGGCGAGAGCTCCAGCTCCTGGCTTTCAGATGCTTTGAGGACAGAAGCCCCCGAACACCGGCCCGGGCTTGGAGCTTGGAGCCCATACTGAATCCGGTTCTTCGAGTATTTTTTACAGGCCCAGCCTGTACTTTCCGAAAAGACAGCTGTCGTCATCCAAGCAGGACATTGCTTAGGCTTACAGCCCTCGTAGAAAAGCAATGACCGACCGCCTCTGCATTGCATTGGCCCTTCTCTTGGTCGCGAGCATATTGCAGGCTTGTCATCGAATCTTTAGACACTTGAATACTCCGACTACAAGTGAGATCCCATTGCCTGTGGCTGAGATTGTGAGAAGCTGTCGCCTCGCATGCGGAGAGGATCTCTTCGAAGCGCCCCGCTGCAAGGAGCTGCAAGACCTCTCTTGTGTCAGTCCAGAGCACGGCTGGCTTTCTGAGCTCCCTAATCTAAAGCCCACCTCGGCGCCCAAAGCTGCGATCGGCGCCTCCTGCCGGGAAGCCCTACAGACCCCAGCACGCGAAACTCCGCACTTCTTGTCTTCATTCGAACCGGTTGCGCGACTCTGTTTACGAGTGGAGCGAGACCAGTGGTCTTGGTGAGCTTCCTTTGAGTTGGATTTCCCACGTCGGCCCTGCCCTTCTTCCTGCGATCTTTGTTAATTACGGTGGTTTTGTCTTTCTCTCCTGATCATAGCTGGGAGTGCAGCATCGCTGCATCATGTAAAATGTAATGGCATGCACGCCTTTGACTCTTTCGACAGACTTGAAAGCCTAAGGGCTTCGTCTTCGGCACTGGAAGCAGAAAGGCATGATGCGGCTCGGCTTGCCTCGCTCATTCGGGCCGAGCGCCACGGCGCCGACCTGGTTCAAAGAGAGCCGACAAGCTGTTCCTTGATTCTTCCCCTTGCACACTGCACTACTGGTCAGGCCTCGATCCAACGGCCACTGCGCACTGCTCTGAGCCGAAAGGACAGGTTTGAGACGCAGAGTGTCCGAAGCCAGCACTGCGACGCAAGAGATGGACACACAACACAAGTGCCAACTGGAAGCGTTTCTTTCTGAGACTCCTCGAACCGAAATCGATGGTGCTTTACATGCCTGAACAAGCATGCATCGTTAACTGCACGACCCAATTGACCGGTTGGGCGGCAACTCTACCACGCCCACACTTCAGTGCATTTCCCAATTGCAGAGGTAACACTTGCGCAGTCACTGAAGTGCTCGATGGCAAGTTGTACATTAGCTAAGGGGCTCGCAGGTCTCGCAGACTAGAGTCGCGAATAATTGAATGATTCAAGATGACCTTGCCGATGTAGTGAGTTTTTGTGGTTTGGGAGCTCAACGGCAGCCTGCGATATTCACAGGGGCGGCTTCATTCGGAGTCCACCCAACGGGTCCACCTTGTCCGGCGGACTCTGCACATCTTGGTCTTTCTCCTCCGCCTTTTTCTGTTCCGTCTTGAGCGGGCCTGCACGCAGCTCCGAGCTGTGAAGGCTGCATTTCTCTGCCCCAAAAGCACATTGCAATACGTGGCCTTGGCCTGCTCGCAAAGGATCAGCCAAACTCGATGCGGACGTCGGCGGTGCCTCCGCGAAGCAAAAGGTGCGTAGTAAGAGGAAGGCTATTGCAGACTTCGCCTTGCTAGGCGCCGTGAGGGGAGGCCCAGGCGGCCCAGGCGGCCCAGGCGGCCCAGGCTCGCCAAACAAGGAACTCAGACTGCTCCGAGGAGGCCCTGATGCTCCGGGCCCCGCCTGCACTCCGAGGATCTCAGTCTGCTCCTCTTCTATCTCTGCTCTCTCTGACTATACAGATTGCACTTCAGGCCTTTGCCAAAGGGCCCGGCTTGATGAAATCGTCATCGTCGTCGTCATCAAAGATACTGTTCATTGTTCGACCACTCGGGCCTTTGGTTCCACCGAACAGGCTGGGCCGCTCGCTTTCGACGCCCGAAGCCCTTTTTTCTGACAAGCCGGGAGTGGGCTCTGGCAGACTCATGGCTGCCTGCTCTACAGGTTCCGCTCTTTCCTCCTTGACGTCCTCCTTTGCCGGTGCAGCAAACTCCCGCTCGCTGTCTTTTCTGGGTGCAGCCGAGGCAGGGAGGCTCGAGTCCTTTGAGGGGCCCGGCCCCAGAGCTCCGGAAGGCTTGCCGACAGGGTCTGACACTGCAGGAGGGGCCCCGAAGAGACTGGTAGATGAAGCTGGCTTTGTGGGTGGTTCTGGCTCCCATGCAGCATCGCTGTCCGAGCCGGACGAGCCTGAGGATATCCGTTGCCGGAGGGCAGCCAAACGACCAGCGGCCGTCGACTTCACAGACGTTTCGGGAGCTGCCTTCGACACGGTCGGCTCCACGGCTTCTGTGAAAGTCTGGGCGGTTCCCGCCCCTTCGGCCATCGGAGCTTCGGGTGTCACAGACTCCACAGGTTGACCCGCACCTGCCGGATGGCCCAATGCCGGCTTCGCTAAGAAGGATGTCGCCGAGGTCGTGTCATCGTCGTCGAAGATGGAGGCCATCACGCTCCTTGCACCGAACAGGGAGGGTCGCTCGGCTCCAGCGCCCGCCGACTCGCGGCTCTGCGCAGGCTCGGCCGCTGCTAGCGTCTTCGAGGAGGGAGCCAGAGTCGCAGCAGTCGCAGCAGTCGCCTCCGTCGCAGTAGTCGCAGTCGGCGACGTGGGCGCATCGAAGAGAGCTGCCACGGCGCTGGCTGCGGAAGGTCCCGGCCGGATCGGAGTAGGCGGAGGCTTGTTGCCAAACAGGGACGTCGTGCCCGGACCCCCCTGCGGCTCGTCACCTCAGGCTTGCTGCAGCCTTTGTTGAGAACCCTCAGCAACAAGATTGCAGCGAAGAGGCCGAAGAGAGATGCCTCGGCAGCCTGAGCCGTGAAACCGTGAGAGCATCGACGCCTCCCCTTGGCTCCGACTCCCAAGTCGTCCGAGCTCGGAGCCGGTCTGGCTTTGGCGCGAGATGCAGCCGGTGGAGGCATGGCAGATCCCATGGCTTTGTACGAAGATGGCTCCTGCGTTCTGTCTCATTCTGGGCTTAGGGGTCACTGGCTCGACTCTGCCCGTCTCTATTTCTACCCACTTGTGAGAACGGTCGCCAGACTTCCTCGAACAAGCTCTCCACGGCCTTCGGCAGCTTTGCAGGTGCCTTGCAACCAACCACTCCCACAAGGCAAGAGCACAAGGGTAGGAACCTGATTTGGAAACCTCTAGTTGCAAATCCGCAAAGGAATGAAGGCCCGTCATAAAAGGAAGCCTCTTAAGAACCAGGGGTTCTTGATCCCGGCCCCTGCGATACACTTTCCCATTCCTTTGCTCTGCTACTAGTATGGCCTTTGGCGGCTCGGAATCCGTCTCCGGCACGGCTTTGCGAGGAACCGGCCTTGCTAAGCAGCACAGCGCAGCTCCGAGCCCAGACGAGAGCGAGCTGGGCTCCTGGGCTCCTGGGGCTCCCGCTCAGACTTCGCCACTGCTGCCAGGAGGCCAACGCCTTCGAAGAAAAACGGAAGTGAAACCGAAAACTTCAGGGAGAGCGCAGCTTCCCCGGCCCGGCCTTTCCCCGAATCCAGCAGGGGATCGCCGGAACTCCTCAGAACGCACCCGAAGCGGAAGAGGTCACAGACGCAGAGCAAGTCCAGGATGGAGGCAACCCTACGGATGGCGAGCGCTCACTTGTCTGCCTTCCGAACAGGTCTCTTTGAAGTCTGCGCCGGCTCGTGCTCACCATCGGTGTGCTCACTCATACCAGCTCTGTGCAACGGTCGAGAGAAAGCTACATCAGCATTCACTTGTCTTAACCGTCGGCTGCGCTCGGCAGACCCTGTGGTTTCTCCCGACAAAGCTGGTATCTGATGCTTGCGCCGCCTCTTCGAGCATAGCCGACCGTGCATGACTGTGTCTAACAGTCAATGCCAAGCGGCGTTTATCACAATCTTCAAACCCAAAATTCCATTCCCAGAGCTTCCGAAGTCGACTGACAGGGTCTCACATCGAGTAGATTGAGTAGGTGGATGCAGACAATCATCATGGCCAGTCTGTTCAGAAACCCAGATGCCATCGAAAATGCCACTTTCAGTGTTCGATACAATCTCTGTTCCATGCCGACGCGTTTACATGAGGACTTGCTAACTTTGTGCATCTGGTTCTACACTTTCGCGACAGATTCGCCAGCAAACCGCCACCCCTCGTCGCAGCTTTGCAGCTGCAAGGCATATGCCATATGCCCAAGCCCAAGACAGCTCGCGTGGTCTCAAAGAGGAAAATCGGAGCTAGGACTGGCACAGACCATCCAGAAACCTTGCGGCCTCTGTTCGATGTTGCTCCAGCCGCCCCCCTTGCATGCTTTCTGTACTTTGCACAAGAGAATGAACGGAAAGCCTTGTTCCCAAGATTCATGCGTCCAGCTTGGAAGAAGCCATTAATACGCATCAATCATAATTTACAACATCATAGAACTATAGTATGGATGTTTACTAATACGTAAAAATATCGACGGTGGGCACCGGACTTCTATCTCGCGCAGGTGTGGACAAAATGATTCAAAATTTCCTCGGAAGATGTCCACGGGCACTCATGGCTCAGCACCTGGGATCAGAAGCAGAAAGTGGAGCAGTCGATAGAAGTCGACCATACTTTAGCTTTCTGAGAGCCGCTCGTTTGTTCAATGCTGCATCCATCAGCTTAAGAGGGTAGAGACACTCAGCAGCTACTTGTCTCCAACCCTGCCGACATGAGCGTCGCGTCCATACACATGCAAAGTCGGCATCTGGTCGAATGCCTGGCCGGCATACATACACTGACTAGCACATACTTTCACCCGAGCCAATATTGCGGCGTCCGACCACGCAATTAACATGCTTGGTCCCCGACTGCGTCGAGCTTCTTCTGCAGGCCATAGGCACTGAGTGGGCACTGTTCTAGAGGGCACCGTAGTGCTTGCTTAACCTCCGTTTGTTGGTGCAGTCTCTGGCCAGCCAGAGGTGAGACCTTGAATGAAGCCGTTCCAACGTTCAAGTGACATACTTGTTGGGCAGCCGCGCAACATCAGAATCTACAAACTCCAAAGATCTCCAAACCCCAAACCCGAGGTTGTCGAAGCAATCGACAAGCTGTCCTACATCCAACCTGCCAGGTCTGAACACAGGCCAGACATAGCACGAGTTGGAGCTTAGGCTGCTTAGGTCTTGGCTTTCTTAAGGTCTCTTTCACGTCTTGGGTTCGAGGCTTAGGTTTTGTGCGTTCGCGCTCTAGGACGACTAACCTGGAGAAAGGAGAAGCGACCCATCCCATGACAGCCGGAAAATGTTTAGGTTACAGGAGAAACAGTAGGCATGAGAGTAACTCTTCGACGACCTAGCTGCGGGGCGGTGTCAGGGGCTTCCCAGCTACTGCAGCTTAGGGACCTCAAACCCTCACGTTGGCTCTGTCGCCTGTTTCAGCATTGTCCGCTAGGGCGCCAGAGTCCGGAACCCAATGCTCCTTACACCTGATGGAGTTGTCGAGCACCCTTGCCTTCCAGGCCAGACTCACACAACCTGAGTTTGGCAGCCTGAAAGGCGCCCAAGACTACACAGCGACAATCAGCTTACTGCAACTCAGAACCTGACTAGACTTTGATTTAGCGCAGCTTGGGGGCTCAAGGAGCGCTTGGTCGCACTCGAACTTGCAATCCATGCAGAACACGAAGCTTATCAAGCCGCTAAAGGATTCCTCGGTGACATGGCGGGAAAGCAGAAGTTTCCATAATAGAAACAGGCTGTCGTCGTCACCGTAACAGTGCTCTTAATGGTGATGGTGATAAGCAGATGTGCCGGTTGTCGTCGTCCATCAGTAGTAGTCGTCGTCGGAAGAAGAAGAGAAATAGCAGCAGTAGCAGTAGCAGTGGCAGTAGCAGTACTGGTGCCGTCGTAGTGGTACTACTGGTGGCGGCAAAGTCGTTGTTGTCGTCGCGGTATTAGTAGTAGTAGTCGTCGTCGTCGTCGTCGTGGTGGTGGTGGTGGTCGTCGTCGCCGTCGCAGTAGTGGTAGTTGTTTTTGTTGAACCTCGAACAAAACACCGGAACGCGGAGAAAAGGCAACTCCATGAGGGTGGATCGCACACTCAGTGTCTGTGTGTCTGTGTGTCTGTGTGTCTGTGTGTCTGTGTGTCTGTGTGTCTGTGTGTCTGTGTCTGTGCGTGTCTGTGTGTCACTGTGTCTGTGTGTCTTGCGTGTCTTGTGTGTCTTGTGTGCCTTGTGTGTCTTGTGCGTCTTGCGTGTCTTGGGAGTCTTGCGTGTCTTGTCTTGGGTGTCTTGGGAGTCTTGTGTGTCTTGTGTGTCTTGTGGGGTGTGTCTTGTTTGTCTGTCTGTCTGTGTGTCTGTGTGTGTCTTGTGTGTCTGTGTGTGTCTTGTGTGTCTGTAGGTCTGTGTGTCTGTGTGTCTGTGTGTCTGTGTGTCTGTGTCTGTCTGTCTGTCTGCCTGTCTTACTCTTACTATTACTAGTACTAGTACCGTACTAGCACTAAAACCGACTACTCCTACTACTACTACTACTACCACCACCACCACCACCACTACTACCAATACGACCACTACTACTACTTCTTCTTCTACTTCTTCTACTACTAGCTGCTATTGCTATTGCTGCTGCTATTGCGATTGTCATTGCTATTGCTATTGCTATTACTAGCACTAGTACAAGTACGAATACTACTATGGTTATTATGATTATGACTGTTCTGTCCTACTATCCGTACTATGATTTCTTATTACGATTATTATTATTATTTTCATTAGTATTATTATTATTATTCTTATTCTTATTATGACTATGGTTAGTCCTTTCTACTATGACTGCTTACGGTGAGATCCGAGGAGCGAAGGCGAACTCGAAGTAGTGAGCCAGCTGCTCCCCCTGCGCCCCTGGGAGCCCGTTGTAGATGCAGAGCTGCATTATCGCAATGGCCATGGAAATGCCGGTGACCTTTTGGGGTTTAGGGGGTTTAGGGTTTAGGGTTACCTGGGGGAGTCCAAAAAGAGCCAAACAAAAACAAAAAAAACGTTTCAGAGCTGGGAGAATGTAAAACTGTGTACCCTATCCTGCATGTACCCTTCGTACTTGGCTGCTGAGCTTCCACAAGGTTGAACAACATGCTCTCATCCAGAAGCAGCTTGGCTTTCTTTGCCATGCTGTACAAAAACACAAAGTCCACCAGGGCCATAGTGATCTCCTGAAGTCGAAGTGCCACGCAGATAAGCATGAGTATCATGATACTTTGGCCGTTGAAGAAGTCACAACCCACTCACAACCCTTCAAAGCTCAACAATATTTCGGTTAGACATACCACCCTGCCCCTGTAGTATCATCTTACGTTGCTTGCATCTGGGTCCCGACATACAATGACTATGGATCCACGACAGCGCCGCTCCTGTTGCGCTGCACTAGCCCTTTTCCTAGGTTCAGTCTGCAGATTTCATCTGAGCGGCATTTACATATTCAATTTCGTGTGCGATGACCTCGAAGCGCTCGAGGCTGGCAGTGATGAGCACCGCAGGCACAACTGTAGAAACGACGTTGAGGGCCATGATCAGCTTGACGAGCTTCCTGGCGTTTTTGAGCTGATTTTCCCAAAGCGCTACCGAAGTCCCCGGGCATTGAACATCCATGGCATAGCCAAAACCGGTTCAATCCTCCCTAGAGCCTGAAGCCTAGATGTGAAACCCGACGAAAGCCATCTTGCGACTGAGGAGGCGATCTTGAGAAGATGTCCTCAAAGTCCCGGGGGCAGCCTCCGAGAATTCGCTGATCTCTCCGACTATACGATACTGTAACTATACAGGATTTGGGGAGAAGGGTAGATTCTGCTAAAATCTGCTAAAAGCTATATAAGGGCTCGAAGATGCTCGAAGGTTGACGCTGTGGGACTGGCACATCTTGAAGGGGCTCATGCTCCAACTGGTGCTACCTCTGCGGGGTGAAAAGTGGGTTCTCGTCAAGACACTGACTGTCAAGACCATATCAGTGCGCTGGAGGTGACGAAATGTTTCGGGCCTGTGATTGAAGTGTTTTGGAATTTGGAGGAGGGGGGCATCTCGCCTGCCCATGAGAGGCAGGCAGTTGGCACGTGGCCGCTCTCGGTTCGGATTCGTCATAGCGTTGCTTCTGCGGCAGTCCGCAAACCTTCGTCAACACTGCGACTGGCATTCCCATCTGGCCCAGCTGCTCTGCGCGATGGTGGTTGCTGCGTTTGATGGCGCAGCGCTCGCGACAAAGCAAAAGTAGTTTGGGGTAAAAGCCGAAGAGAGGAAACCCGTGGTATAGATTTTGGTCATAGTATATGATAACCTCGAATATTGTAGTATTCTGTATAGTTTGAGAAGAGGGGTTGGACATCTGCATTGCTGTCCCTGGAGGAATAGGCACAGGTCCTGTGAGCCACTCCTACATAGGGTTCCTGAGACGAAGATCAGTACCTGAGCAGCTCCAAGAAAATCCAAGGCTGAAATACGGGGTTTGCTTGTTGAATCGGGTACGCAGACCGTGGGTCACAGGACTAAGCAGGACGGTCCGCGGTTTTCATACAGACTTTATTGTGCCCGTGTCTTTGGGCTTGCATTCCCTGCCATCTCACGCTACACGACGAGGCAGCCGTTGAGCAAATTTGCATGCTAATACTACCAGTATTACGATGTAATCAGACCCATATGGAAAGCATCCCGGTGCTGTACTGTTGTGCAGGAAGCGCGCCTACAAGGGCATACACCTGGATGAGGGCGAAGCAAAACGTCGCCCAGAATTCAGTGAAGTGGAAGAACTGTTCGTGCTCTTCTCCTCAAGTGACGAACTGTTGAGTAGAACTTTCTGCGCATGCGTGTTCTGACTTGCCCTTTGAACTTTCCTACCGTGATCGGCAAGCGAACCGGCAGCAGACAAGCCAATGCAACCGAGAAAAGTAAGTGCCGGTCGGAATTGGAGATCCATGGAATTCAAGATTGTGGTGCAGATGTTGATACCGACATATACCAAGCTGCATATAGCCAGGTGCCTCCGCTCGGCAGCGCTCCAGCAACTCACCAAGTTCTTTGCTTAGCTGGGTGGTGGCGGACTGTTTCTTTATCATTATCAGGTGAACATGTCACGATTTTGTGCAGGCTAAACATTGCATGATCTGGCAGCATCAGCCGGGCGCAACGTCTGGGCTTCGAAGAAGTTCATTGCAGAGCTGGGGGCTTGTCTTGTCATGTGGTTTCCGTGCTTGGTCGAATCCGAGCCACAAATTCGTCCTTGACATCGAACGTAACCGGTGCAGCATCTCCGTCATCATGACTTCCTCCATCCTGACCAGCGCGGATGTACTGCTGTTTTGATCATGGTTTATCAGATCCTGGCGGGGCAGGCTGAGACACGATTGCAACTTAGGGTAGAAGCCGTCCTGGAGGTTCGAGCCATGTTCCAGTTGAGGCTGTTGATCTTGTCCGTATGCCTGGATACGAGGGAGCGAGGAGCGATACACATGAGGACACACGCTCCAAGTCCAGCCGCGACACGCTTGGTATGCTGTGATCGGCTCATCATTTTCAGCGAGAGGAGTCTTCATGGCCATCGCTCCCGGGAAGCGACCGTCCGCAAACACACGTTGTTATGGGCTGGGGTTGAGTAATTAAACTGTTCGCTCTTCTCTCGGACGCAGAGCAAGGCTTGTACTTACTTGAGACATCTGAAGCTGAGTTGCAGCTACTGGAGCCCAGGATTCGGAGGAGCGGAGCTTCTGGTGAATCTCTGCTGCTGGTTCCAGGATGCGCCAGCTAACGGAATGTCGGATCCGGCGCTCCTGATTGCAGAGGGATCTGAATCGTCAAAGAGGAGGGAAGCAGCTTTCGGCTTCTTCGGTACAGTCGTCCTTGGGCATGTTGATGCAGTGTCATGGCCCATGTGGCCAGCAAAGAATCCCTGCCAAGCTCCCGGCGAAGCTTGCGCATCGTCAAAGATGCCGGCGCCAGGCTTCGGTAGGGCGGGAGGCGGCTGGCCAGAGCTCGGGCCCAGAGGTCCCAGAGCACTAGCTCGGGAAGCTGCTTTCGGCGCGACCTGGAAGAGATGTGAGCAAGCTTCCAGGTTTAAGGTCCTTGCCGCAACATGGCCGAATCTGTTGTACCTCGTCATCGAAGAGCGGATCGTGAGCACGTGGTACCGGTGCCTGGCAGCTTGGCGCTTGGCGAACGCTGGCCCAAGCGATCCTCCGACGAAGCCGCCTTTGCGGTGACCGCTCGGCTCCTGCTCGCCTGGAAGAGCCGACGAAATAACCAGCGAGAGAAAAGAGGCCCCCAGCGCCCATGCTGAGGAGATCACTGGCACCGGCAGCGGAACGTCATCAAAGAGTGATGCTGCGCTTTTTGGCACAGCCTCTGCGAGCCAGCACACTCTTCGCTCTCTGCCCTTGCCCCGCATGAGTGGCCTGCCTTTGCCGATGCTGGCTCTGCATGCTCTGCGACCTACTCAAATCCACACGCAGATCACATTAGCGTGTGCTTCTCCGGCTTCTGAGGGTTTCACTTTCGCAGGAGGCTGCTCAGAAAACAGCGATGGCCCTGGCGCTTTCTTCGGGGAGGGCGTCGCCTCCGCACAGGCAGCGGTTGCCAAGCAGGGTGCGCTCAATGCCATTGGCGCGAGGTACAAACATGGCATGATACACTTGACGCTGCTCATGCCGATCGGCCAACAGGGAACCTGCAATTGGCCGAATTGTCCATTGCGGGAGAATAGCAACAAAACCCGCCCCCCACAAGTAGGAGCAGTAGCATGCAGAGGCGATCTACGAAGGCTTCCTCCTCTGGCAGCGTTCGCAGTATTGCTAGCAATGCCATTCCTAGTGCTAGTGCCGGCAATGCTAGCAGCAAGCAGCGGCAGCAGCAGCCGGAGTCGGGCCGCAAAGGGGCCCGGGAGAACTTCTGTCACACCGAACACTCCGGCAAGCTCCTGCAGAGCTGTCTTTCGTGACTGAGTGAACACTTGCGGGACCACAAAATGCCGGTTGGCGTCTCACATGTTCAACAGACGATTATACAGAAATGCAACGATAACACGCACGAAATACCTATCGCTGGTCTAGATTCTAGATGGTCTAGATGCTGCATCATCTGCTGGGTTGAAAACACTCTTCTCAGCACCTATGCATGTACTGATTCAGCCTGTAACCGTGCAGTGCACTCTAAGTCTAGCTTTTTGCCCCACACTTGAATTACTGACTCATTATTATATATTTTGTTGGGAACCTTGGTACACATCCCGACATCACGTTGAAGCAGTATGCGGCGCACCTTCGTCTTTGCTGCTGGAGGTTTTGCAGGTTCATCGTCATCGAAAAGCGAGGCCATGCCACTTTTCAATGTCAGTGGCGCCTGCGATCGACAGGTTCATGTCTTGACCCTTCTTCACCAAGAGCGCGCCTTCGGCTGCGGAGCACTGGTAGCGGGCTCGTCATCGAAGAGAGAAGAGGTCCCAGCTTTCAAGGTCAATGGAGCCTGACGATCCCCGAACTACCCGTTCGACACAAGGTCGCGACAAGGAGTCATCAGTCATTAGTCTTGGCAGCGCTAGGCCTAGGCTTCACGACACTGTACGAGCTTGGCATGGCGAGGATAGAGTATCGAGCATGGCCCCTCTGTAAGTTTACGAGCAGCATTTCGCGAGACTTTCCGTACTGCCGAAAGGGGCCTTCTGGGTCTTCAGATGTTGGATCCCCTATCCGACTCTTCTACAAACTGCACCGAGTCATACTGCGCACTCTTGCAGACCCTTGCAGTTGCCGTATGTAGCAAGGAACCCTACACAATCCAACAGCTTGTAGGGACTTCCAGGCACTACAGAAAGGCCCTAAAGTACAACGGTAGGAGTGGGTTAGTCGGGGTTCACAGCTCATTGCAATGCCGTCTGCTTACGGCTCCTAACAATATCCCAAAGGCGAAGGAATTTTCAGGCACCATCAGCGTAAGTGGAAGCTCTGGGATCGAAGTCTGAGCAATCTGGTGGTCTTTCACTGCAGCTTAAGTTCCAAATTAGAACAGACTTTTCATGA